GTATATATACAGTATATACACACAACACACACACACACAAATATATACACATATATACACTCTATATGAACAAGTGGAAGGATTGGATAATGACGCACCAGAGGATCTCTAAACTGACAGATTTATGATCATACACTTTAGTTAATAATTAAATATTAAATGGTTATTTATTCTGACTACGTCATATTGAATGTTTGTAAAAAAAATTAAACAATTTTTTTACACCAAAATAATTTAGGGGGGGCTTTTAAAATATTTTAGATGGGCTCCAGCCCCCCTAAAATAGGCCTAGTGACGCCACTGACCTTTAATCTGCCAATTTAGGCCTGTGGAGTTTGAAATTATCTAGACTTTTTTGCAATTCTCCAGGCATTGTATCAGACCTGAGACATCCATTCCTGGGAAGATTGGCAGCTACTGTAATTGTTTTCCACCTGTGAAAAAAATGATTTTTTTTCCTTTTTAAGGGGGTTATTCAAGTGTCATATTGATTAGATTGGTTGAACCTGAAATGTTGATACCAACTGTAAAGAGTGTTTAAAATGTTAACTGTTTTTTCTTCCTCTTGAAACAGGCAAACAGCTGTGTGCTCGGCACTGCCATGTTGATGAAGGAACAAAAATATTTTTCCAGAGAGAAATATTTAGAGTTTGAGCAGCCAACCCTGAGAAGAAAATATCTCTGTTGTGACTAGACGTTATGCTGCAGGCAGTGACAGAAGAAAGAGAGTTCAGCTTTCATCCTGAAACTGACAAGTCGTTGCAGATTTAGTTATGTTGGCCAAACTCAGGAGAAACGTAGTTTATTTAATTTTATATTGCAGAAAGCAATTGGACCAACCCCCTAGCAAAGTCTGAAAACAGTGCCCAGCTTAAATCAGCTGACTCAGGCTGTTTCGACAGAAAGCCATACACTACAGAACCTGCAGATTGCCCTCTGAAGTGATGACCCCACAGACAGTCCTGAACCTGTGTGGATTTCAGCGAACAGTGAAGTCACTCCAACTGAGACAACTGGATGTCTGCACACCGGGTGCATCACAAATACATTTGCAAAGCAGTTCTGATTGTTTTATTAGCCTGTCTCAGATACTTTGAAATGTCTTATCTGCAGTAAAATTAAATAACTCATTTTAGTTTAGGAATAACGTTACTAACCCTTAATCTGATATTTTCATATACTGTACCTTCTCTCCAAATTGACAAAACTTTACTTTCTTAAACTGGGTCATCTGTCAATAAAAGTGAAAAAAAAAAAAAAAACATTCCTGTGGGAAAATATCTTGTTTTGTCTTTAACAATTTAAATGTCAATCTTTCCTTTAAACATACTTTTATCTTAGACTAAACGAGTCTAACTTAACTTTTACCTTAACTATTTTCTAAGCCTTTATTTTGTCTTTTGAATTTTTTACTATTTTTACTCATTAATCTCTGAAGTTTGGTAGTTCTATTTTTGTAGCAAACTACCAAAAAGACAATCTGGTTTTATCTTCATTCATTATGAAGAAGGGTTCCCCGACTCATGATCTCACACTTTGAGTCTTAAAAAAAGGGTGAATAAATTATTGGTCGGTAAACACTGACCTGGCGGCCCCCAACATGTAGCAAGAGTGCAGAAACGGTATCACCTTCTGTCTGAAACCCTTCACTCACTACAGGAGTGAGATTGACAGATGTATTGGTGCAGATTCCGCAGTTATGCGGACTCTGTACTGGTCTGTTGTGAAGAGGGAACTGAGCTGTAAGGCAAAACTCTGTTTACCCATCAGTCTACATTCCTACCCTCACCCATGACTGCAGTCAAAATTAGTTTTCTCCACAGGGTGGCTGGACTCTCCCTTGGAGATAGTGAGAAGTTCAGTTATCCAGGAGAGGCGGAGCCTCTGCACCAGCCAGTTGAGGTGGTTCAGGCATGTTCGACTGGGAGGAGACCCCTGGAGAGACTTTCTGGCATGGTTCACGAACACCTTGGAATCCTCCCAGAAGAGCTAGAAGAGGTGGCTGGGGAAAGAGGTCTGAGCTACCTGCTCAAGGTGCTGCCCCTTACATTCAGGTAGTTTCTGAAGTGAGGCTTTACCACTGAACCTCATAGAGAACAAGAATCTCTTCAGAAGTCTGGAAACGTGATCAATAAAAAACATTTAAATACCACAGGAAAGCTTACAAATCAAGTACATTACAGTATTTTTATTGAAAACGTTTTAAAAACAAAAAGACATGAACACAAACACCCAACATTTGACTTGAATATGGTAACCTTCTGTCGACTGTCTTGTGTTGACGTTGCTGTACTCACACAACGCAGATATGTTATGATCGTGGAATGTGTGATAAGGCCAAGGTCAGGGTGGATCGGCTGTGTAACTCCACATTAACAGTTCAAAACAGTAGAAAAGAAAAAACCGAACAGGTTAAACTAGGTTAGGTCTTGAACCTGACGTGAAYGAGCTTTAACAGTAACCTCACGGAGACAGATGAGTGCACAAATTACAATCCATTTTTCTGAAAAAACATCAAACCAATTGGTTCTTCCCTTGGTTTTTCTTCTTCCTTCTGTAGACTCACTGGGTTCACATTACATGTTTAAGTTTTAACCGTGTATAAAAACGAGGGAAAATAAAAAGGCGTTGACCACTATCAGTTGAATCACCTAAGAGTCTAACTAAAATATACAAGAGAAAGCTTGTCAGGTGTGTTAGAGTTTGCTTTTTTTTTCCCCTCACAGGCCGATGGTGTAGGAACGGCCCGCAGGATTGTGGATGGCAGAACAGGATGGCTCGGTCACAGCCCACTCATACCAGACCTTCTTCCCATTGTTGCAGCGCCAGAACCGTACAGTGACATCATCGTCCCGTGATATGGAGATGGGTTGCTGTTAAACAAACATATCGTTTAGTCCCAAAACATCGTTTTCCAACTTAAAACTTTTAGTGTAATCACACTTACTTTGAGGGGGAAGAGGATGGGGAACCAGGAGAACATTCCAGGTGAATGTGTGTCTGGTTTTATACCTGCAACAAACACACACATTGAACTAAAACATTAATATTTCTGTATAAACATCTGCACGATTGTTTCCACTTGAATAATACGACTCACTGAGTGTGACATCTTTGTACAGTGTGGTTTCAAAGTAACCAGCAAAGCCATGGAGCACTGAGTTACAACCCACAGGGAATCGGAGGCACTGATACCGGTTATTGTTTATGTCTGAAAGCAGAAAGGAACTTGGTGAAAACTCTGAAAATAGGAGTGCATGTTCGTTCATGTAAATTTAAATTTTGTACCTTTTGTTGGGTGTGTGAATGTGAAGCAAGGTTTGGGGTCAGCCAGCTGGTGGAAGTTATGGAGCCGCACCACATAAGGAGTCTCAAAATGGCACTCGGGGTCCTTGTCTCGTTCCCGGCACCCTCGGACTTCATTGTAAAGCTTGGAAGAGGAAATGGGAGCCAGGTAGGACGTGTAGGAACAAGGGATACTGACTCCATCCTCTGAAATGAAGAGAAAGTGATTTTAGATGCAAGCAAACATCGAAGGTAAAGGAGCAGAACTGAGGCTTCTTCTAAATCTAGGAGTAGCTAAAAACAAAAACAAAGTTTTGTCTGTATTTAAGTACCTTTGAGGAAGTGCTGTGCTCCATCTAAGCACTCTGGGGAGAGCTCATTGTCTCCGAATGAGCCGAGCAGCTCGCTGACAATGATATCGGCTTTCTCAGGAGCGACCCACTCCCGCATGTCACACGACACCACGGTCACATGATCACCCCACTCCTCAAAGCGCCAGTTCTCCAATCTAAACATACATCAAAACATATGATCTGACATTAAAGGGATCCACACTTAGTTGTAACATTAAACTTTATTTGATAAACATTTATTTTAACTGTAAAATAAAGACTATAAAATACTGTAGGTTGTTTTGTTTTGTAAATTTTTAAAAATATATTTTAACACAGACGGAGCCATTTTATTTACACACAAAGCATTCTGGGTAAATGATGACGTGGATTGGTCCTCTGTGTGAGTGAGCTATATCCACCCTGAAGGTTAATCTTAACAATATCTGACGATTGACTCTTTTAAATGAAACCAGAGAGCGTTGACAGA